GACGAGACGCAACTGAAGCTACTCTCGGCTGCCGAAGTGCGCAACCAAAAATAATAGAAATATCCCTGTCCTAGAGCCTTCCACGTCTCCGAAGCGGAGCCCTTGGCCTGGCTGGGCAGGTCTCGGCACTAGGAGCTGAACGTGAGCCTGTAGCCCAAGCGCAAGTCCCCTTCTCCGTCATCATCCTCATCGCCGTCTTCTTCGTCTTGTTGGCAACTATCCTGGTGGTAGTCCTAGTTCTACTATGTCTCGAGCGAGCCAAGTAATTTCTTTCACGTTTGGTCCATCCCACTTTAGGTACCACGAGGAAAAACAGCTGATCGAGGACCACAAGGCTTTGAATACAGCCTTGGCCCAGCCACAACCGAGGGTCGGAACCCTGCGGCTGCTTTTCGATGGGATGTAGTAAGCCCTAACCAAGCCCTATGAAACCGAGATCACTTTTAGTGAACGTGGCGACAGTAAGGCGCCAGAGTACTCAATCCAAGAGGTGAAGGTCGACGTCGCCGCGGAGAAGGAGCCATACGGAATAATCGGAGATGACGATGCCTATGGAGTCGTTGACAAGAAAAATGCTCGCGCTTCCAAGCCTAAAAGCTCAAACCCAGACTATTCCACCGTATACGGTGAACTATAAATGTGAAGGGCATAAATTCTGTCAAAAACAAGAAAGTTCAAACAATCTAAGCTCTAAGAACTGCTCAAACGTACCCATCTTGGCCACATAGCACCTTTTGTTGATGGTTACCTCCAAGTAACACCCGAACGGCTCCTCCTTCGCCTACGACCATACCACGTTGAAAGCACGGCATCCCGTCCGATCTGCCAAGTTAAGCAACGTTGGGCTCGGTTAGTACTTGGATCGGAGACGGCTTGGGAATCCCGAGTGTCGTAGGCTTTTTGCTGATTTTTTCTGTGCTTTTTTGAGGATAGATTTTTGCTGTCTCGTAGAAAGTGCAGCGTATTGTACCAAAAATTAAAGGTACAGCGCTAACAATCGTGAAAACTGCATTAAAAATATGGTTGCTTTGTGCACTCCCTGTGGGGGAATGCGTTCCAAAATTTGTTCGAAACACTCTATGAAGAGGTCTCGGGGTTAATGCTAACCTCAAACTTGGGTAATTAAACCGAAGCTGTGGATGGGTGGGGGCTCTTCTCACATATGGACACTCCAGGTCGGTGTGTCTACCCGGGCAGCCCCACAGCGAGCGATCTCTCGTTGTCTGCGTCTCTCTGGGACTTCCCGACCACTCCCCCAACGGACAGACTGTGGATAGGAAAGAGGGGAATGTCGGGGTGGTGAGTGTACGAAACACTCCAAGACGCAGGCAACGAGAGATCGCTCACTATGGGGTTGCCCGTGTAGACACATCGACCTGGAGTGTCCATATGTGAGAAGAGCCCCCACCCATCCACAGCTTCGGTTTAATTACCCAAGTTTGAGGTTAGCATTAACCCCGAGACCTCTTCAAAGAGTGTTTCGAACAAATTTTGGAACGCATTCCCCAAAAGGGAATGCACAAATCAACCTCTACCAAGACGCTGCGCGTTTTGCATTCATGGTACCCATCTTTCAGTCAGAATTCGATTAGGTTTGTTGCTTCTTCGATAAGAACGTCGAAGTCGATTTTCGACACTGCTAGCAAATCGTGCTACTATGGAGATAAGGATTATCATGGAACCGTGCAGATTTTCTAGGGATTTTTATGGATCTACTAATCTCTTGTATTTAGGTATCGTCTACTACACCTCAAAAGTAGTCTGATCCATTTATTCGCGACAAATTCTAAAAGACATTCGAAAAACAACGCCGATCTGCGAAACAAAACAACCGGCATAATAATAAATTTCAAAACGGTAATGTTACAACGCTATCTGCAACGCGTTCCAGGTAACGCTGACGGGCTTCCTCGATCTCCTTGGGGCCGTTGCGCTGCGCCAGCACTTTCTTGAAGCTCTCGAGACGCAACTGCTTCGCTTCCTAGAAAAAAAAGACAATATTTGGTAAAATCGTATTGTTATTATGAAAACCCGCCAGAAACCCGAAAACCCAAATACACCACCAGAAAAAAAGCAATAAAAGAAAAATTAAGAGTACAGATTCATCCATTTTTCGGTCGTTCATGCGACGCATAGCATGCTAAAAGATAGGAGCTATCGCGCAAGAATAGCGAAAGAAAAGTAGAAAAAAAATACTTGTGTTCCAGGCCGGGGTGCCTTCGGTTGTTTCGGTCTTGGTTTTTCGTCAACTTCGGCCGGCTCCTCTTCCTTCGGCTCAGGCTTTTTGGATTTTCTAAGAAACCGATGTATCGTTTAAAAAAAATTTTATATACCTGTCGGCCCTTCGATCTCTCCGTTCGACTTCGCCCTCCTCGTCACTTGGAGTCATCGCGCGCCGTAGGCGCTCGGCCTTGGTCAGCGCCTTTTCTGTGTTTTCCTCGGGTTTAGCCTAAAATAAAAGTTAAGACATATTTACATCCGAAAACTCACCGCTGGTTTGTTCAATCCGGCCCTCAATTCCACACCAAAGTTTTTATGCGTTGGTTTCGGGGCCTCCTCTTCGTCATCAGTGTCGTAAATCGACTTCTTCGGCTTGTCGGAATCTTTCTTGTCTTCGGACGGCTCGGCGCTCTTCTCCCGCTTGCGAATATTAGTGGCTTTGCGCGGCTTGAACTCCACGGGCTTCTCAGCTGTCTCGGGTTCTTGCTAAATAAAAGATAGGTACAAGAAAAAGGATAATCGAACCTTTACAGACGTCGTCCCGTCATCCCCATCTCGAGCGATCGATGATAAAATCGTCCTCGCAAATCCGGATTGCCAAATTTTCTGTTTGTCGATAGCGGTGGCCTCTAAAAAGAGTAATAAATCAACCCGCAATGAACAAACCGTCAATAAGATTCTGACGTGCTTCTTCTTTTCGATAGACCTCAACCTCCTCCATCAGTTGACGATAAGCACCCGTAACAAACACTTCCTTCTCGTCAAATTCGCCTTTTTCCTACAAAAAAAATCCATAAAAATATGTGAAAACAACAACCTTTATGCGTTCCCTTTGTTGCAATCGTTCTTCGCGACTTTTCTCCTCCAAGTTACGTATCATATGCGCCTAAAACGTTCTAAAAACGCAAGAAAATAAAAGGTTTACCCTCATAATATCATCAGCATATTTAGATTGGCGTTCCTTGTCCTTTACTTTGTCTTCTGCTTTCTAAAAACGCCTTCATCAGATGTAAAAGAATAAAACTACCTTTTCATCGCGTTTTCGCTGGATCTCATCATAATTCTTGTCATAGTCGAAAATTGTTGGGTCGGCGGCCAGTGCTTGTTGCTGCAGTCGCTCGGCTTCTAAAAACAAATTGAAATGAAAGCTTAATAAGTTAGCTATACCTTTTAACGTACGTAGACTAGCGCCCGAGTTTCCTTGCTTCGGAGCATCCTAAATAACATTCAAGAAACAAAAAAGTACCAACCAAGGAATCCAGCTCATCGTCCGATCCGCCAAAAATTGGCGCAATCACCTTCACGTTCGTTACTTGATTTGGCTTTTTCAGGACGAGCCCGTATTGCCTAAACAAAGCAAAATAAAAGTTCATATGCCTGAACAAACTTCTTTTTTCGTTGTATTTCCTCGTTTGATGCCATGGAGAAGCGCGACAAGTCGTAGGGGTTACCTGAAATTAAATTATGTAATGCAGAAAATAACATGGAAACTGAACCAAAAATTGTGGGGGAAGAGAGATCATTCGAAACGCGCGCAATTTCTTATCAACGCCATAACCCGGGGGCATTTCTGACACAAACAAAATTCCAAAAAAGCCTACGACACTCGGGATTCCCAAGCCGTCTCCGATCCAAGTACTAACCGAGCCCAACGTTGCTTAACTTGGCAGATCGGACGGGATGCCGTGCTTTCAACGTGGTATGGTCCTAGGCGAGGTTCGTTCCGTGTTACGCGGTCAAAAGGGTTGGGCAAGTCAGAGAGCGCGAAAGAGGAGAGGGCCGGGGGAGGTGGGGCGGAATTTCGAAAATCGGTTGTGAGTTTATAAATGACGGGTATCGCTTCAAATTTAAAAGTTTTTTTTGTGCGTTGTAATAATCACGAATATTCGTTGATATTTTTCGAGGTTTTCATGAGCTTTTACGCTCAGAAAGCACGAAATTAATGCTTTTAATTAAAGGGTCGGTAAAGTGCGTTTAACTTGAAATAAAATTTGCCGCGTTTGCAAAATCCAGCGGTATCGCTTCCATTTTAAGAGTTTTCCTTGTTTGGAATTTTAAGGAATATTTTTGAAGTTTTTCAATTTTGTCGTTTCAGGAACCGTTTCACCCAGGAAGGTGCCAAGTATTGTTTTTAAAGGAGCCGGTAAATTGCATATAACTTTTGATAGTATGCTTTGCAACAAAAAAGGTTTGGTACTTATCAAGTTGGGGGGGGGGGGCACTTTGGGTACCTATTAGGAGACACTTTTTTATCGCTTTTTCGAGTCTTTCTGGGGTAGTTTTTTACGCTGAATGCGATTAGAGTCGCAACAGCATGTCAAACCGTTGGGTTTATCCAGAAAAACAGCGTAAAAAATTTATTAATAAAAAGTGGACTTATGCACAATTTGGGCATGCCGCATCGTCAGGCAAGGCGGGCCGTCGCTTCGGATGGGCTGCCGCTCCACTCTTTCAAAATCGGGGCGCCTGGGCGCTTCGCGCTCCTCGGGCGCCCCGATTTCGAAACCCTGTACGAGCTCGCACCCATCCGAAGCGACTAGGCCCCGGGTGGCACGAAGCCTTATTTTTAGGCTCAAACTGGGTAGCTGAAACTCTAACTCTTAACAAACGTTTAGATAATGATGTTTTACTACTCTGATTTTGTTATATTCGGAACCAGCACAAAAAACTAGCCTAGAAAGACTCAAAAAGTCGAAAACCAAAGTGGCCCCCCCAACTTGATAAGTACCAAAGGTTTTTCTTTAAGTTTTTATTCTCCACAAACGAAAGCCATAAAAATCCACAAAACATAAGTACAGGGGTGGGCGACGAGACGGGTGGTAAACGAGGGGGAGGAAAGCGCGCTGTTGGCAGAATCACGTGTGAAAATTCGAAATCAATGTTTTTGTTGCCGGAATCAATAAATAGTATAGTAATGAGCTAAGAGGAGGGGGAGAGTCACATAGAAATCAATGAAAAATTGCACAGAAAAGTCACCGCTATCGACGGGGTGGAGCGGCGGCCAGGGTCTTTCGACCCCGGGCCAGGCACGCTTCGTGAAAGACGTTGCGGGGTGAGGGAAATCAGGCGCATAACATTGTATAATAAAAAGTTACCGTTAAAATCTTAATATAAATGAAAGATGATGAAAAGAATGCGACCGGAATGGGCTTTGAGGGCCGAATCATCACAAAGGTTTGCATGGGGGGATAAGTGAGGTGAGGTCCTAGATTTGTGCGGCTGCCGGAGTCGCGGGGAGTTTGGTGCGGTTTTTAAAGTTTTTAAGGTATCCTGACAAATCAGGATACCTTTAAAACCTGCTGCTCATCCCATACTACCCGAAACTGACAGCCACGCAAAATCTAGACTTTGTCGGGAGGGCGAAATGGCGCTATGACGATGAAAGACATGGAGTGAGAGGGGGAGTCCATATAAAAACATCACTTGGTCGAGATTACGAGCTACCGCATATAAATTAACACATCAAAAGGTATCAATAAAAGTGAGGCATTCGCGTCGGGGGTTTGTGAAAGAGCGCTGGGACGGGTAGTATCAAATTTTTGGGGCAAATCACCGGTAATCGGGGAGGAAGGGGATGTGGGAGAGGGGAATTAGGCAGTGGTGATCGGAATCGAGACGAAAGCTTTGCGGGTACCGTATTCCTAATTTGAACTAGCGTCAACCGGGGTGTTGAGTGGGGATTGGCTAATTTCAGCTTAGGGGCCTAGGCTACGGCCTCAACACCCCGGTGACAAGAAAGACTTTTGAAAGACAATTGCGTCTAGTCGGAGGAGAGGAGCAAGCAATCGGCCGGTGGTTGTGGCGGTGGCGGGGTGGCGAACTGGCGGTGTACGTGGGTTGGCTGGATGACAGACGGGCCGGGTACGGTGCCAGGGCGCACGATAGAGCGCGGCGCGACTTGGTGGAAGGCCGATGGGCGAGGGGTGCCGGCGGCTGGTAGAGGGGTGCTTGTGATCTGGAATTTTTGAGTTAGATAAGTTTTCTCAAGGGAATTTCCCGATTTTTAGGTAAGCTTTTTCGAGGTAAGCTCCTTCCGCTCTTTTTCTCTCACCTGATACGCTGTAGGTGGTGACGGGTTCGGCGGCAACGGCCTGGGCGCTGTCCACTTTGGCGACCTCGCCCCGCTGCGGCTCTTCTTGGCGGTGGTGGGTTCTGCTCCCTGCTCGCTTCCATCGTGGTTCTGATGGCGTTTCCGGGTCAACCGGTGGTGCCACGTCGTCTTGCACTGCTCCTCCCATCTCCGGGTGTGTTCGAGGAGGACGGCTCGCGTGAGGGGTAGGCTATCTTGGGCGGCACTAAAAAGATATCGTTAAAGGAGCCGCGACATTTTTAAGACTCAATAAGATTCCAAAAAGTGCTGAACTCACCTGAGATCATGTACAACAGGTTGTGGGCGTTCATGGGCTGGTGTTTGTTGGCTTTTGAGTAATCGGTGCACATTCTCGAGGCAGTTGATTTGGCTGTAGGAGAGGGGTGCGCCTTCGGCGTTGACCATCGGGGATGGAGTGGCCGGGGCTGAGGACGAGGTCGGTTTGTCCTGAAAAAATTACGGTTAGATACCTATGGTTCCCTTGGTTATCCTTACAGCTTAAATTTATGGGAAATGCTTCTTACCTGCTGCTGGAAATGCGCCAATTGCTCATGAACGTTTCCGGGGGTACCCTGGACGACGAGGTTCTCGACAAGGCGCTCGACGTACGAGTAGAGATCGGGGGATTGGGTAGAGAGACCTGGCGATGAACAAGGTATTGAGGGATACATTAAAAAACCTTACCTAATGGATAGAGTGGCCGGATGGCTTGCAAGGCCTGGAATTGGGCGAACGGGTTCGTGAGGGTCGGGGTGGTGGCAGGGCTGTCGTGGACTGGCTGAAAATGTTGGAATTAGCCCGAGTTTTCCTTTTTTGGGTGTGGCTCGATCAAAAATTGACCCGTTTGTGGTTCTTAAAAATTATTGACTTACCCGGCTCATGATCGTCTTCAACTCCTCTTCAAAGGTTTTCACGAGAGGTAGGGGTAACGTGAAGGTTGGGGTACCGGCCGGAGGTGGCGATAGAACATCAGCGTCTATAATTTGATTTTAATAAGAGCTATAACTTTCATTATAAGGAGAGGTAATGCAAATTTTTCACAACCAGTTAAAGTAGCTTATAACGCTGCTCACCTCCAACTGGCGCGTCAAAGACACGATGCCTGGCGACGACCATCTCGATCTTGCGGCTCCACGGCGAGATGTACGCCGACCACTCCGTCTCCACGGTCAACAGCGCGCCGTTGTAGGCGACCAGCCGGATCGGGCCGATCGACCGGACGACTCCGCCTTGTTGGTTGTGCACTGGAAAGGGTGGGTTTCATAAATAGTAACTAGGTCACTAGGTTTCATAAATTTTTACGGGTTTCTAGGCTTATTTTTGCCGAAAATCAACTTACAGTCGAGGTGCGCCTGTCTGATGATGTGCACATCCGGGGCGTAGACGAATGACAACAGCGACCGCCCAATCACGTCGGTCGGTAGATGACCAATGAACGGGACGCTCCTATAAACATCATAATGAAGGGACTGTAATCCTGGTACTCACGCGTAGTCGATATGAGTCAGGGCGCAGCTCAGCGAGTGCTTGGTGGTGAACGAGGTCGGCTGGACGGGGCCGGCGGTGGGGCCGAAGGCTGATCTAAAGATGATATGGTAACTTTGGTCAGACAGACGTAAGGTATAGAGCTTAATAAAAGTAATTCAGCTCACCTTAAGCAGAGTGCGGCCACGCGCGCCTTGCGCTGCCCGTCGGCGCCCTGCTCGAACTCACATTGCAGCTCGCACGCCCGACTCGTCGCCCCACTGGAAATACGGTGGTTTGGAAATGATTTTTTGCTTTAGTATCCAATTTTTAATGAAGAATGGAGATGTAGTGGATAAGAATAAGCCTAAGCCTACGCTTAAGCCCAAGCCTGAGCCTAAGCCTTAGTAAAAGCCTACGCCTAATCCAAAGCCGAAGCCAACGCCTAAGCATAAAGCTACTTGACTTCATGGAAGCTAAATATTTTCTAGGTATACAGTTAAAGCGCACGTTCAGGGAGGGTCCGTGTACTCGTCCCAACGTGTACACCCTATGGACGTAGGGACCGCGCGCACGACCTGCCCGTGCTGTGACAGGCCATTCCCCTCCTTTGCGGCGTCGGGCGCCCCTTGCCCTCTCGCCAGGTTGTACCTGTGGCTGACTGGTATCCATCCGCGCCTCCCGAGCGGGGGGCCCGGGTTCGACCCCCGGCCGCGGCAAAAATCTTTGCTTTTTTCCAAAAAAACGTCCCTGAACGTGCCCTTTAAGAACTAAATAAGGTCTAATAAGATTGCCTAATCCAGAAAATAGCTTCCAGAGACTACTGTAGACCACGGAGCGTTCAGGGTACCGCCCCGGAATGGCTTCACTTTTCCACCCGGCACATCGTGTCCATCTCCAGCCCCTGGGGTGTGTGTTGTGGTGCTGGGTTAGGGGTGGGGCCCGTAGATGGCACCCCCAGGCGGTGTCCCTCACCACCTCGACGAGCCGCGGGTTGCACTTTAGGGGAGGGACGGGGGAGTGAGTGCGGAGAAAGGGGAGCCACAGACGAAAAGGGGGCGAGAGAGCGTGGGAATGGGGGAGAGGGAAAGCGGGGATCCCCCGTCCCGTGTCCCGTCCCATCCACCACCACCAAGCACCCGACCCCCCATCCCGGCCAGCCACCACCACCAGCCAGCCCGGCTCGACGCCTGGCTCGCTCCGTTCCAAGCACACTACTCCTCCTCTCTTCGGCTTCCAGGGCTTGGAACGCTGCTGATAAAGGGGACGAGAGATCTGGCGAGAGAGAGAGAGAGACAGCGAGGGAGTGAGAGAGAGCAAAAGAGAGAAAGCGCGAGCGAGAGAGAGGCAGAAAACGGAAACGAAACAGATAGGTCGCACTTTTTGCAACGTCAGGGGGTCATGGCTCTTCGTTGTTAGAGCGAGGTAAAAAGTGGTGTTCCGGTTACAGCTCACTAATTTATCAAGCTGAGCATGAGCTGAGGCTCAAAAATAAAGGTAAAGTTGAGTTGCTAGAATCGAAAATGAGATGTTTAAAATAATCCGGAACTTTGGATCAAATTGGAGCTTAGAAACTAGTAGAAAAAATGGGGTGTCTAAGTTTGTGCTTAGGTTTCGGCTTAGGCTTGCGTAGGCTTAGGTTTAGGTTTAGCCTTAGACTTAGGCGTAGGCTTGGGCTTAGTCTTGGGCTTAGGCTCGGGCTTAGGCTTAGAGGCCTCACCCCAAAAGCTCCAAAACCCAAATTTTCACCTCACCCCTCATCACCAATTCGCACCTCGCGGTGGGGTCGCACCCCCGATTAGCATTGTCTCAGCCAGTGCCGGGCTTACCCCCGCACTGCTGACCAATACCCCCCTCACTCCAGCCGCCAGTGAGAGAGAGAGAGAGAGAGAGAGAGGAGAGAGAGAGAGAGAAGGGAAGAGCCTCCCTAGTACGTGCCAGCCGCCCTATATCTCTCTCCACTCTCTACCCCTTGACCACTCCCTCCCCTCCCTCTTTCGCTGCGCCCTCTCTGTCAACAAGGCTCCCTCTGCACGCGCTGACTTCTGACCGACCGCAGCCGCACACACTTGTTACAGGGCAACACGGCCAGCCACCCCGTGGGAATGTGTACTTTTCCTGGGGTCGAGCCCTTGTAATCCGGTGGTGTCAATTGGATTGGGGCGGAATTGCTCGAGGACAGGGTTTTAGGGCCGGGGTTTGGGCTTGAAGAACCGGTTACGACAGGAGTTGTCTAGTAAGAAGAAGTAAGATTTCTTGGTTCAAGGTGCGGCGTATAGGCTTGAGCTTTGGACTGGGGCTTAGGTCATAAGTTGGCCGGTCGCTCATGAAGCTTCGGTTCAGGCCCACGCTCGGGCTTAGGTTTCGGTTCAGGCTTCGCTTAGGCTTAGGCTTAGGCGTACGTTTAGGCTTAGGCTTAGGCTTACCCATTGGCTTCGGCTTAGACTTATGCGTACGCTTAGGCTTGGGCTTGGGCTTATGCTTCAATTTTCTGCTCCCGAACTTTCGATACCCCATCCACAGTTCAAAATTTCAAACCGAAAACCCTGTTGCCCAGCGGGTGGTCTCTCATCCACCAAGATGGGGCAGGGGTGGTGTTCCGGATTTGATCGTCTCATCCGGTGCCAGCCTATAGTGCGACTTTTAGGGGTTTGTCGGCCTCTCTCTCTCTCTCTCTCCCTCTGGACCGTGTCCTGTTTCGCGCATTTCGGTCGTCGAGCCACCCGGTGCACGCGTCACGACTAGCACAGAGAGCGCCCCCCCCTCAGGAACACCACCCCACCCCAAATTTATCCCCCACCACCAAACATTGCAGGGGCAGAGAGAGAGAGAGAGAGAGAGAGAGAGAGAGAGAGAGAGAGAGAGAGCGAGAGAGAGACACCATCCCCTGAGGGTGTACGCGACACTCCGGATGGACGGGGGGACGGTTGAATGGAATCGAGCCTCCCCGTACCACGGTGGCGGGTGGAATACGCAGGTACGAAGCGATACAAAGGACGATTAGGAGGTGTCTAACCATTAATAGATCTCAGGGAAATTACTTCAAACGGGGAAACGGGTCGAAAATATACGGATTTCATGGAGTAATCGGTTGGGAAACGTTTTTCTAAGCGCTTAGGAAGGGGATGTGATTAAGGGAGAAGCTTGGGCTCAGGCTTCGTCTTAAGGAGCACCAAGTAGAAAAAGGAGCGTCAAGTTCAAGGCATGAAATTAGCAAACACCCACCATTTCACCCTCGAAAAGACGCGCTGTCGAATCGAGGTGGCGGCGGCGGAGAGGAAGAAACTTTGGCCGGTGCCGAGGAGTAGCTTCAAGAAGCAGGTACCGACTTCGAGTTCCTGAAAATTGCGCATTTTAAAGGGACTGAGACAGGTGCGTATAAAGTTGCCTGTGCGTATAAATCGACTACGAGATAGAGTGGATACGGTAAGCCAGTTTTGAAGGGATGGCGACAGCCAGGGCAATGGGCGAAAACCGGAATTAAAGCTAGCATAGCATAGCTCTTTTTAAAGAAATTATAACAGCTACTTAAATTGTTTTGAAATGGAATAAACACTCTGAGATACCGTACACTTTTCAAAGCTAGATGCAAAATTTTGAAACAGATTTTTTGGCCAGGAAAACTTCCAATATTATTTAAAGAGACAGTGATACCAAGACTTGCTCTTGACTCTGCTGTCACGCTCCCTTTAAGATAGGTAAGCTGCAGGTATTCGTTTATTAATGCATACCTTCGCCTCATAGGCGTTGGAAACGGGCTGACTGGCTAGGATCGAGCCGTCCGGGATCGAGACGGTGGCCGTAAAGAGGAGCCGCTCGTCCTGGCGCGCCGTTTCGTCACTCTAAATAAAGGTGGAATTTATAGATTTTTTACATTGTAAACTTTTTACATTACATTTTACATTGTTAAGATTCTGGACAAAAACGCCCAGATTTAGAGCTGAACTGCTTGAAGACCTACCGTGGATTCGTCGCTGCTCTCCGTCCACGTGTGGGGTGGGGACAGGATTGGGGCATTTTCTAAATGGAAAATATAGCTTTTGATTGGGATTTCGCTTATCAAAAACTGAAATATGGATTTTCCAAAACTCACCAGCCCCCTCTGCAGCCGCTGATGACGCCAGGGCGCAGGCGGTACGGTCGTTTAACTGGAAGATCATGGATTAAAGGGGTGTGGAAGGCGAAGATCGGAATTTGAAAACTTTTGTATAAACTGTAAAGCCAGAAAAAGACGACCCCTAAACTACAGCGACCTAAAAGCGCCAGAAAAATCCTAGGAACACTTTTAAAGGGACGGTCACAGTGGGAATCTCAGAGTCGCAGAAATTTAAGCGATATTGACATGCATGGATTTACTATAAGCGAGGGGAGGCATTAAGAAATACTTTTTGATCGGGAATTACCGTAATTAAACGACTGGGCGTTTTTTGAGGCAACTTTAGATACCTAACGATGCAAAGGGCACGAAAATGACATTTTTACCAAAAAAAAAGAATGTTAAAGGGCCAGTAAAGGCTAACAATCTTTTCTAAAAACACAAGCAGGTATTAGGAAATCATAAAAAATCGGAAATAATTCCCAATTGGCTGATTAGGACCCTTCTAAAGGAGCATTGAAGGGAGAATATAGAGCTCCCGAGAAAACGGCATGTTTTAGAGGGGTATTTTAGGCTCGAAAGCCGGATGAATAGATAAATAGTAGCCAAGGGCGCTGAGTTTAGTTGAAACCTTAAAAGCTACAATTTTAAAGGAGCACGAAAGTCAAAAAATCAAGAAGGTGAAGACTTCTAGCTAGTAGCTAGCTTAAGAATACCCCAGATAAACTCTGGGGAACCAGCCTGAAGACAGGATCTCGTAACTGGGCCATGCGGGGGTGAAGAAGCCGGCGTATTGAGAGGAGGAACACCCCGGAATACCCCCACGAACGAGACGAGCTCTCCACCCCATCCCCCCTCCCCGGTGCTGGCCAGGGCGAAGAGCATTGACTTTCGTGCCCTGGGGGCACACGAGCCTCAGTGTGTCCCTCCCCTGCACTGGGTTGGGGCTAGACTAGCCCGGTCCCGTTGCGGGGACGGGGAGTGAAGCGTTCGGTCACGCCCCCGTTGTGCTGACCACCGCACGACGTCTCGTGTCTCTCACTCTAGAGCGATCTCTCTCTCTCTCTCTCTCTCTCTCTCTCTCGCCTTTTGGCCCCCTGGAACGAATTCCCGGGGCCTGCTAGTGGACACTGCTCGCCTCCTCCTCTGGGCCCTCATTCAACACCCCACCGATACGATTTAGGACCCCAAACGGATTGGACCACCGACCTGTCTGGAAAATTTAGGGACTGGAATAATGGACGGACTGGGGGATTGGGCTTAGTTTAGAATTAGGCTTAGGTTTCCGAGAGCTTGGCTGTCGAGGTCTTATAAAGGTCTACGTGTCCAGGCTTTGGTTTAGGCTTAGGCTTATTCTTGGGCTTAGGCTAAGGCTTAAGCTTAGGCTTGGGCTAAGGTTTAGGCTTGAGACCTAGACGGGGACTAGGCATGGGGGTTCGGCTTGGTTTAGACTTAGACTTAAGCGTGGGCTTGAGCTTGGGCTTGAACTTAACTTACGAAGACTTGAAAGTGACTTAACCATATCGTCATTCCCAAGCCCTAGCTTAAGCCCAAGCCAAAGCCTAAGCCCAAGCCTCAGCGACGCTCGAAGCCGTGTCTTGCCCGCAACCCACATCTGGACATTGACCTAAGGCGTTCCACCAAAAGCTACCGATCCCTTTAAAGCACCCGAGTATAAACAATCTTAGCATGGAGTGCGAGCCCCATATGGAGCATGAGGTCGGTCTAGTTTAGCCTAGACTATACCAAAGCCTGGTTTTCGCTTTGTAGTAGCGACTACGAGACGCTATCTATGAAAAACTGTCTATGGAAAACTGTCTATGCAAAACTTATGGCTACTATAAACACTAACCAGGTGGGCATCGGATGTCCGGCGTCGCACGTCGTTCATCTGGTGACCCGAGGTAGAGGATTGGATCCTGGAAATATTTAAAATTACTGTCAAAACCAGCATCAAGCGAAAGAAGCAGAAATATCAGCAAGGTCACGGTAGAAAAACGCAAATTAATGGAAGCAATTTTCAGGACTGTGGGTTACTGTTTTGAACATACCTTAGTCATGAGAAAATCCGCAAAGTTACGGTTATAACCACTAGAAAAGAAAACTAATATTTATAGCCAGATACCGTAGAAACTATTCGCATTAATGAAAGGTACTTTCCGAGGCGCTACGGTGGGCTTCAGCTACGTAATAGCGATCGAAAGAAAGGAAAAGAAATGGGTAGTCGGAAAATTAAAGTACGTTACGTTACGCTGGCTACCGTATACGTTTGAAAATGGCGTAATTTTTTGGCGTAAAATGTCGTCAGTTTTCTACAGTACCCTGTAAAAAGAAATTTTACGAAGTTTTACAAAAACGACGGGCTTGAGACATGATTGAGCGCTGAAAAGGCTACAGTTGGACTTTGGTTTCCGGTTTTTTAGAAATCATTTTGAGAAAAAGTAAGGAAAATTTTCTGGCTAAAAAGGTACAGTAAATTTTTGGGTTCCAATTCCTTTAAAACCTGCAAAAACCGATCTTTCGAATTTCTGAAAATCCCGTAATCAATCCTAGCCCAATCTAGCTCGCTAGATACGGTAAATGAGGGCGCATGATAGGGGGGCAGGATGGAAAACGATACAGGATGGGGTGGATGGATCGTTGAGAGGCCGCAGGGAGGATGTGAGCTCGGATCCGAAATCCGAATCGAACCGGGGAGGGGGAGCTGCTGCTGCTGGCCGGCCGGCTAGGGGGAGAATGGATTCTCCTCGTGCTCTGAAAGATCCCTAAAGGGGTTGGGGAATCTCGAGGAGCAAGAGGTGGAGGAGGAGGAGCATGAGAGACGGTCCTGCCCAGCACCGAATATCTTGATCTGGCTAGCACACACCGCCCCCGCTGCCCTCTCGGGCTCGCGTGGCTCGTGGCTATACCCGAAATTTCCTGAAGCCGTGAGCCTGGGCTTTGCCACCGCACGATTTATTGAGCTCTTGCTCAGCGCGCTTTAGGGGCCCTTTAAAGGACCGGGAGCGCGTAAATCGACATCTTCATCAACTGGGTCTAGCTTGCCCTGAAGTTCAAACTAGTTAAAATGACGGCTTTAGGCTTTGTTGCCTGCCCAGGTTTATGTCTTAAAGGGGCTGGAAAGCGTGAGTTTCGACCCGGTTTTTCGTCTAGGTCTAGACAACTTTGACCGATTGAAATGACGTTTTTTTTGCCTGGACTTTGGCTTTAGCTCAAACTTCGGCCTTGGGCTTAAAAGGCTTTAAGCGGGAGAATCGACCCTCGTGGTTCGCTAGGTCTAGACAGCTACGCGCCGTTCCAAATGACGCTCTAGGTTTTTGGGCTCCAGGTGGTGGCAAAAATCGGGCATCCGTAATTTCGTGCGTCGCATAGTTGTCGAAACCAAGCCCATAAAGGGTCTTTCCTCCACTTCCCAGTCCCTTTAAAACACGCCTTCCACTCCCAATTTCGAGCCGATTTCGTGTCCTTCATCATCGTGCGGACGCGGCCGCGGTGGTCGGTTGTGTTGGTGTTGGGGTGCGGTTGCGGGGGGCGCGGTGTGCGCGGCGCGGAATCGTGACGGGGCTTGAGGCACAACGGGGGTACGAAGCAGCGCGCTCGCGTTTTCTGGCGCTATTCCTGGGGGCTCCCGCAGCACCAACGAGGACAACGACTCCTAGCCGGTCCCACCACGAAATTCGAGGGTCTTAAGGGGTCGGGGTTAATTTAAAGATACATAGGTTGCTTGGGCTATGGATTGTCACACAAAAAAAGCAAAAATTAACTTGACAAAGCCACTACGTTGATACAAGACAGATTATCGTTTTTCGTACTTTTGCGAATCAATCAAGAGATTTTTACTTACCCGATACGCTACGCTAGTTACGCACGTTTTATTTTACCGCGGCGCTTCACACAATACCGTGCTACGGTAGGTTAAGGTACCTTACTCTACGCTATGCGCTACGTTACCTTACGCTAGGCTACGTTACGCATTGCGTTACGCCACGCTACGTGACGCTGCGCCACGTTACGTTACGCTACCTTTCACCACACAACGCTACACAACGACGACGCTACTGTAACCCTACTCAACGGCATATATACCTACGATAGACTTCACCGAAAAACGAATGAAATTTTTAGGATATTGGGAAAATCAGACACATTAAATTGCCGTCAAAAAATATCGTAATGGAATGAAATCACGATTAAATCGATTAAATTAAAGTCATAGAAGCAGCTGAAAATCCACAGAAAACCCTGGCTTCTACGTGCCTTTAATCGATATCCACAGGCTAGCGACTAGACGGTACCGTATTCCTAGAAAAACGCTTCACTCCTCCGGAAAAATGCATAGACAAAGACGGCGAGCCCCCTCCGTTTTTTTGCGCAATTTGCGCTCCGCATGGGAATGGGCAGGGGGAACACGGAAAAAAGGCCATGAAGCTTTTTTTGGTTTCGCGATGGTTCCTGGGCAAAAGTAGGGTAAAAAGCGTAGTATTTACCGTAGGTAAGTTGGATTTTTTCAAATTGTGGAGGACATCAAGTACAGTAATATGCTGGGGAATTAAGAGAGTTTAATAGCCATTTAATAAATACCCCGATTTCAAGGAAATATGGTTGATCCCGAGAAATTGCCCGAACGTTCGATAGTTTCAACATTTTTAAGCTCGATATCTACATCCGGCTTTAACTACGATAGCAAGCGAATCATAGCCATAAGTACATTTTTTTTTTATTATTTTTTTTTTTTCCTTCCCTCCTCCCGCCGAAACGGGCGCCCAAACTAAACAAAAATAAAACCACCCCCCCCTTTCCCCCACCCTTTTAAAAAAGGGAATTTTTTTATTTTTTTATTTTATTTTTTTTAAATTTTATTTTTTTTTTTTTTTTTTTAGTTTTTTGTTATTGGCAAGTTTAACTTTAATTCTTTTAGTTCTTTTTTTTTTTTTTTTCCATTGAGGTGAAACAAACAAGAAGGCGGGGACACCGACAAACAGTATGAGCCATACCAAGAAAAATGCCTAAAAAGGGGTGCAAACCTTCCGAAAAACGGAAAAATTTGCATTTAAAGTAATTCGG